CCGCCAGACAGGCAATGCGCTCACCAGGCAGTGGCTCCCCAGCTCACCGCCTGTCCTGGGCTGGCCCCCGCCCACCCTCTGAGCCCCAGGTCAGGGCTGTGGGACAGCCCAGTGGAGGCGGTGATGTCACAGCCGCAGCGCCCTCGGCAGAGGTAGGCCGGCCGGGAGGGCGGGGCCGGGCTCCAACACCCCTGGCTGGGGTGAGCTTGGCAAGGCCGGGGGCTCCCCTACGGGGCCCTCCCTCTCAGGGGTAGCGGGGGGCTCTTGCCGGGGCAGGTGCTGGCGGTCCCGAGGCTGGCGGTCCCTCAGGTGCCAGGGGAGCCCATTCTCGGGAGAGCCCCTACTGTGCGCACTTTGGCCCTTAAGTGTGGCGTTCTGTGCCTCAGGTGCACACGCCTGAGCTTAGGGGGAGACAGAGGGATGCACACGCCTGAGCTTAGGGGGAGACAGGGAGAGACAGAGCTGGAAGCAACAGCTGCTCAGCCTGGCATCACCCCTGGGTGCTGGCACTCTCGTCATNTGTTGTGGGAATGGGGGGCACTGCCGGACATCCACCTGGGTCCCTGGGGGAGCCCCTTAGGATGGGCAAGGCTCACCGAGCTTTTGGGGCACCAAGACTGGCCTGGAGTGAGGACCAGCTGGGCCTCCTCGGAGTCTCTCCGCAGTTGGGGTGGCCCTGCTTCGGTCCCCAACCCAGCGGGACCTGACCTCGTTCGCTTCTGTGTTCTGTGCTTTTCCAGTTACGATTTCCAAGCAGTTCTGTCCGGGTGACTGTGCCCAGGTTATGACGACTAATCCCAAACCGAACAAGGCATTAAAGGTAAGGGGGTGAGAGTGGGCGGACCCCGGGCCCGCCTGCCCCACCCTTTCCTGAGAGCCCGTCCCTCCCAGGTCCGCCCGCACGCTGAGGAAGGCCCTGTCACCTGGCACAGGGAGGGGGCTGTGGGCTGGAGGAAGTGGCACTGAAAGGGGGGGTGACCGAGTCGGGTTGTGGCCTCAGGAGATGCTGGCCCTGAGGTCCAGGAGGATGCCTCCTGCCTGGAGGGTGGTGGTGGACCCCAGGCGTGGGCGCTGTGGCCCTGGCCCCGGGGCCTGGCCCTGACTGCCCCTCCCAGCTTGAGGCTGTCTGCGCCCTTGGGCCCCTGTCTCTGGTCTCGGGAGCTGAGCAGGGTCTCCATGCATTTGTGGGCTGTGCACCCTCAAGCTTCCTGTTCCCCGCCTGCCCGTGTCAGTCCTGCTCCGGGCACGAGGGGGTCACAGGGCAGCACCCACAGGGGCCGAGGCCTCGCAGGTTCCGGTGGCCAGTGCAGCCGGCCAGCCTGCATTACAGCCCCGTCTGCACATGTCCAGTGACCCCTGGTGGGTGGGGGCCGGCCCGAGGTGCGGAGGGGCCGCCAGGACCCCGACCCTTAGCCGTGCGTGGCCCGGTGCTGACCGGTGCCCGGGCCCGCAGGTCAAGAAGGAGGCGGGTGAGAACGCCCCGGTGCTCAGCGACGATGAGCTGGTGTCCATGTCGGTGCGCGAGCTGAACCAGCACCTGCGCGGCCTGTCCAAGGAGGAGGTGGTGCGGCTCAAGCAGCGGCGCCGCACGCTCAAGAACCGGGGCTACGCGGCCAGCTGCCGCATCAAGCGGGTGACGCAGAAGGAGGAGCTGGAGCGGCAGCGCGTGGAGCTGCAGCGGGAGGTGGAGAAGCTGGCCTCGGAGAACGCCAGCATGCGGCTGGAGCTGGACGCGCTGCGCGCCAAGTACGAGGCGCTGCAGACCTTCGCGCGCACCGTGGCCCGCGGGCCCGTCGCGCCCTCCAAGGTGGCCACCACCAGCGTCATCACCATCGTCAAGTCCCCGTCCGTGCCCTTCTCGGCCGCCTCCTAGTGCCCGTGGCAGGGCGCCGGTGGGCGGGCGGCGGGCACGCCCCTCGTGCTGTCAGCGGGTCCGTGGAAGCAGACCCCCCGCACCCGAGTTCACGCGGGGACTCCGGCGGGGCTCGGGGCCGGATGGAGAGCAGGGTCCCTGAGCCTGTGCGCCGCACGCCCCCCCACNCAGGAGGCTCCTGCCCATGTGGCTGGAGGGCCGGGGCTCCGTCTTCCACCCCTGGAGCAGCGGTCAGCATCTGCCCCCCTGCTGTGACCCAGCGGCCTGCACAGGAGTCCCACGGCCCTGACTGCTCTGGGGTCCCCGGAGGAACTGTTTGTCCCCGGGGCCAGCCTGGCGGAACCCTGTGCCCCGGGCAGCGCGTGGAGGGAGGCTGCTGGAAAGGGCATGCGCGGGGGGCTTGCAGGCGTGGGGGGCATGCCCCGTGCTACCAGGGCACCAGCAGCTCTAGGGGCTGGAGAAGCAGCTTGTTACAGGCAGTCACTGGCGGGGGGGGGGTGTCCATGTGGAGAGTTGCATATGTGTTGAGAATTGTCCCCCTGCGTTGCGGTGACAGGTCCCCAGCTCCGGGAAGGAGCCCGGGACGGGAGGGGGGGCCTNGGCCTGGGGCCAGGAGGGGAAGGGGAGCAGTTCTGGGTGGAACAGGTATGAGGTTGGCAGTGGAGCTGGGCTGCGCCTGGTTCCTGCTGCTGGAGGGGGGAGAGCAGGGCATCTCCCCTCCTGCAGCAGCAAGTGGGGAGTGGAGGAGGGGGAGGGGGTGACATCCAGGAGGCGGCCGGCACTGGGCCCCAAAGCGGCGCGGGCAGACCAGCCTCCTGGGGTTACCTGGGGGGCCTGTCAGTACAGAGGGGACAGGGGACTCTGCGACCTTGGTGCTTAATCGTCGCCTGCAACCTTCGCCTGCTCTGTTGGAGCCGCAGAGCCACGGGTGACCTTGGTGACTTCTGCGGGGCTTCCTCCCCTGAGAGCTGCGCGGGCGGGCTGCCCCTCCCTGCCTGTCCTGGGAGGATGCTGGGCGAGCCGAAAGCCCGAGCCCCCCCATCGGCCCCTCCACCCAGAAAGACCCCAGCAAGCTGTGATGCCCCCCACCCGGGCAGGGTGCCCGCTGCGCCAGGAAGAGGGGCAGGAGGTGCTGTGTCCTTGCTGAGTCTGCGGCACAGGACAGAAGCTGGCCGGCCGGCTGGCCTCGGTGGTGTCCTGCCCCGGGGCCAGCGGGCTGGGCAGGCCGCACCTGAGAGCAGGGCCCGTGTGAGAGGAAGCTGTCGGCACCATGGCTGTGGTTGGTAATCCACATTGGATGTCAGTAAGGACCGTGGGGAATATTTAAAAGAGAGAATATATATATATATATATAAAGTTATATATACATTTTATCGTCAGATTTTGTACCTGTTCCTGTTTGATACTGTAAACTTAGGGCAGAGCTGCAGGCTGCGCGGGTCCAGGCTGGCGGCTGGAGCTCTGCCCGTCTTCCCGCCTGCCCTCTGCGGCTCCGCTGACGCGCTGGGCCTGGGGTCTGGCCAGGTGTCCTGCCCGGTGGCTGCCCCAGTTCCCAAGTGCCCGGTCCTAGGGGATGCAGGTGCCTCCCTCCCCGGGGAAGGGGTCGTGGAAGACCGGCAGCCTCCCTCGTGCTTTCCCGTTCACGTTATTGAAACTTCACTGTCACGATTTAATATATGGATTTTTTATTTAAGAGAGAAGGCAAAGGCTGTGGTCGTGTGGGTCTGTTTTCTGTCTCCTGGGCTTCAGAGTGGGAACCCTTCCCAGAGGGTGGCCCCCACCCTCCCCAGGCGACAGGGCCTCTGCCTGCAGCTCACACCCAGGCCCTCGCCGCCGGCCACTCAGCAATTTCATTTCAATATTTATTTTTGTGCTGCTTTTACCCTGATATAAATTATTGAGGAGACCCGATGCCGTGGCCCCTGTCTGTGTGGTGTGCCCCGTGTCCCCGTCCCCCAGCCACCACCTAATTTATTGCTGTACATCTCTGCTCTGATGCTTTTGTACCTTTGCAATAAAGAATTTTCTGGTTTCAGGTTTGTCTCAGTGTTGTTGGTGCTCTGGCCATTGCGTGTGCTGTGCCCCCCACATCCCAGCCCCCGGTCACCGTACCCCTCACCCAGAGAGGGGCGTCCCCATCGGGGGCTGCTCTGAGTGGGTCTCCCAGGCTGTGAGGTCCCGAGTTGGGACAGCCCCGGGTGGGATGCCCCGGCCAGGACCCCAGTCCATGGACGTGGCCTCTCGGCATAGTGGCCGCTGTCACCTTGAGCTTGTCAACGGCAACCATAGATGTTTTCCCAGCTAAGCTGACCGGCCAACCCTGGGAGGACCCCTGCCCCAGCCTGCTCCTCCTCGGGGAGCCCCAGATCAGCAGTACCATGGCGCAAGCTGGTGACAGGCTTGTGTGTGCGAGCTGGGGAGGCACAGACCCTGGTCCCCTGCTGGGCTCCTGGGAAGTTAAAGGACACCTTGTCCCACAGGCCACCCGCCTGCTCTCTGGGTGCATTGCCGGGACCAAGACAAGCCTCTCCTGCTTGTGTGGCTGCTCCAGGCCCTGCACTGTGTCTCTGGAGGGCACGGCCAGCAAGGCCCGGGCAGCAACCCTAATCTGCCCAGGGCTCTGCTCCGCCTGCAGGGGCAGGAGCCCTGGACACCTGTTCCGTCCTCACAGCTGAACTTTGTTCTGTCCACAGGCAGAGATGTCGCAGGGGCCAGGATGGTGAGAGAACTGGTCTTTGTGCAGCGGGGCCACCTCCTGTCCACTCTGTGAGCTTGGGCAAGTGGCTCAGCCTCTCTGGGCCTTCCCTGGGCTGTCGTGAGGATGGAGTGTGCATGACAGTCCTGGCCAAGCCCTTGGCATGCTGGCGCCTGGCAAATGCCGACCTCCTCCCCCTCCCAAATCACCAAGCCCAACAAGGCCGTCTATCCCCATGCACAGGGCCTGGCCCATGGGTGCCCCTGCAGCCTGGGACCCACGCATGTCTCTCGGGCCCCCTTACCCTCTGTGCACACGGCTGTGGGCACCTCAGGCCCACGGCTTTGATCCCTCCCTGTGCAAGGGCATGCGGGGCAGCATCCTCGCTCACAGGGCAGCCTGGCAGCTTGCCTCTGTCCCGCAGCCTCCAGACCCTGCTCCAGACTGCTGACTGTGATGGGGGTGGTGTGGCCACGGGAGCTGTGCGGGGGCTGACGGGGGCCTGCCAGCTGCAGAGGGTGCGATAAGTCGGGTGGGGGACTTTCCAGCGGGCACAGGGGGAGGCTCAGCCTATCTTATCAGGAAGCCAGGCTAGGCCTTGGGAGAAGCCGCTGGCCTTGAGTCTCCTGTCTCCAGGCCCAGGGAGCAAGGGGGCAGGGAAAACCCCACTCATGGTGGACACCACTGGCCAGGTCCCGCCCGGATGAGTCTCTGAGACTCTTGGCACCTCTGCCTCTTTCCCTGGTGACATGGGAGTGGGCAGCCAGGAGGAGTGGGAGGATGGGCGCTGGGTGGTGGCCACTGGGCCTTCCCGCCTGTGGGCTCCTAGGTGCCTGTGCCACTGCCCAGCCCCTTGCACCTGTCTCCGGGCTCCCACCCCACCCTGCTGGACACCGAGACACAGGAGGGACCAAGACTTGCAACTGCTGCTGACTTGGCGCCTGGCCCCTCCTGCAACGCCCCTTCCCTGTGGTGACCCAACATCCAGGGCTGCTCCAGCTCCCTCCCCCATTTATCAGCTCCGGAGGGCGGGGCAGTGTCCAGGCTCAGCTCCCAGCTCTCCGTGCATCAGAGTGTTACGCCGGGGCCGGGGGTGGGGAGGACGGGGGCAGGCTCCAGGTCCCAGCCTGCCTCTGGGTTTGGCATGAGTGGCCTCACGGCCCACTGTGGTCAGGGCTGCACAGAGGAGACTGCCCCAGCCTCAGGGGGCAGGGCACTCAGTGTCAGGGTGAGCTCCTTGTCCTGTCCTGCTAGGAGCTGGGACGCTGCCCCCAACACCCAGACTTGGCATAGTGGGCCCCCTCTGACCCCCCACAGTGCCTTCATTAGGGCACCAGCCCTGTAGGAACAGAGGCTGCGAGAGTCACTAGAAAACCCAGCTGTTTATGTATAAATAAGAGTTGTTGGAAGCCTGCTGGCTCGGCTGGTGGCCCCCGGCACCCCCAGGCCCACGTGGGGTGCACCTCCCCAGGGTGAGGGCTGGCCAGGGCTCCCATGGCTGGAGGGATGTGGAGCAGTGCCCAAGAGGACCACAGCGAGGCCCAAGGGAGTCACCGCCCTCAGCCTGTGCAGACCCCATGGCCCACAGCTGCCCAGCCTGGGACCTGTCCATCAGAGAGGCCACTCTGGCACCCTGCCCCATGGTGACCACCTGAGGGGATGGTAGCTGCACCCAGCAGGTCCCTGGGCTCCACCCTCTCCCACGGGCCTGGCAGGAGGGCTCTCGGAGACGCTTGACCTTTGGCAAGAGGGTCGAGATGGGCGAGGGACCCTGTCCTTTCCTAGAGGCCAGGCTGCCCGGCCCTACAGCTCCTCCGAGGGGATCAGCATTCTCTTCTCCACGTTGCGGCTCTTCCGGTCCCCACCCGCCGCGCCGGGGTGGGAGCCGGGGGCCGGGGCCTCCTGCGTGGCCTGCTGCGTGTAGTGCTGGTAGGTGGGCGAGAAGTTGTGGATGGCGTCGTGCACAATGTCCTGAGGGCTCATGGTCTCCTTGAGGCCACTGGAGATGCTCTGCATGGGTGCCGTGGGGGCTACGGGTACAGCAGGCACGTGGTGGGGCTGGGGTCTCCCTGGGCCCATCTCTCCCCCTCGTACCCCCAGCCCCGGGGCACAGCCTGCTCCTGCCCTCCTCGTGCTGCCCAGGGCAGGGCTTGGCCAGAGGGGCCCCCAAATGCCAGTCAGTCCAGCTCCTCCACAGTGCTGTCCCAGCCGGACCCCGGCCAGGTCGCAGGTGGGGAGAGGCCCTGGATGGCCAGAGCAGCCACAGGCCATCGCTGCCCAAATGGGTCATTCACTGGGGGCGCCGGCACCGACCAACCTTTGTCTCCCAACCCTCTCAGGCTGGTCCAGGCACCTGGGTGTGGTGGGCAGGGGCCCTGGGGCCCAATGTCCGGTCCAGCCATCTCTGAGCTCAGGCCACCTGCCCCCGGCCACGGCTGCATCCTGCCTGGTCTCTCCCCTAGACCAGGTGCAGACAAGGCACCCGTCCCGGGCATGGTCCTCCCTGCCCACGGAGCTGACATTTCCCATGTGCTGCACCCAGGTGGGGAGGTGGCGCGGAAGGCACCCGGGGAGGGCTGGCCACGTCCCATGCCATGCCCGTGGCTGTGCCATTCCAGGAGCTCCACCCTTCTCACCGGCTGGCTGGCAGGGCCCACCTACCTGGCGAGTTGTCCTTCTCCGAGTACACCTGGCAGGTGAAGGCGTAGCGCAGGGCAATGGAGGCAAAGAGCATCTCGATGCAGATGATGAAGTTCTGGTAGCCGGCGGCCAGCGTGCCGGCCCCCACCCTGCTCCCGTCCAAGATCTGGACCTCAGGGATGACCCCACACTTCTCCAGGATGGCCAGCAGCATCCCTGGGGGGTGGGGACAGCCACTTAGGCACCCACCTGGACAGGAGGCTGGGCTGGAGCTGAGCCAGCCAAGAATCCCACTGCCGCCTGCCTTGGGGGTTCGGCGGGGGTCTGCAGGGAGGACAAGGCTCAGGCCCCCACAGAGGCCCCCACCCTAGCCCTGGATGTCTCACCCATGCAGTCCCGTTCCTTGCAGGGGGGAGACGGAGGTTCAGAGGGGCTCCAAAGCTGGGGTCTTGGCAGAGCAGATACCCAAGAATTCCCCACGACCCCAGACCTGGGCCCACCCCTCACTGTCCTCCTGTGCCAAGTGGGGTTGCGGGTGCCCACAGCCTGGCCCGGGGCCAGTGGGACAGGGCCCCTCTGCTGCTCTGTGCCCACTCCTCCCACCACGGGCCAACCCTGCACCCAGGCTGTGTGGCTTCAGCTGAGAGGCCTGTGCTACAGCCGGGGAAACAGACTGGGCCCGAGGGCCTGGGCGTGGAGGTGAGATTGGGACCAGGCTGTCTGGGCTCCGCGGCCCCACCTACCCTGCCAGAAAGAGAGAAAGATGACGGCCTTGATGGTGAGGAACTTAAGAACGGGCTCGAAGGGCTGCAGGAGCTCCCTGGTGGCGAAGTAGAAAAGGAACAGGGCGTACATGGCCAGGCTGACGGAGGCGTTGTAGATGAGGGTGACATACAGGTAGCCACTGTGGACGCTGAGGGCAGAGCGGGGGCTGGGGGTCAGGGCGGGCCCCACAGTTGTGCCAGCAGTGACCCAGAGGGCCAGGTGGCACCCGAACGGAGGAGCTGGGGGGCGCTTGCCGGAGGGGGGGCCGTGCAGGGCGTCCCGCCCCAGTGGTAGGGTCGTGGCCCTTCTCCTGTCCCCGCCCCCTCCACCTGGGCACAGCCTAAAGGAACGGGCCCTCTGCACTGTGGACACAGGCGTACACGTGCCCGTGGGGGAATGTGTCCACGTGAGCATGTGTGTGCTGTCATGTGTGAGCGTGTGTGTGCATGTGTGTGTGCTGTGTGCATGTGGACCTTGGCCCGAGTGCCCTTGAGTCCAGCCCTTGTTCCCCTTTGGGTGGGCCCATTGCTGCCTGAGCCTCGAAGCCCTGGGCTCCCCAGGCACACAGGTGACAAGGGCAGGTCTCTGGGCCACAGACTCGCCCTGGCACTTTTGGGAGAGGAGGAGAGGCCTGTCCTCAAGTGCTGAGCTCTCCCCTGAGCCCTGCCGCCCTTGCGCGTGTCCCCCCCTTCCAGCTGGGCCCCCTCTCCCCCCGGCCTTACTTGAAGTCCCCGTCGTGGTATTTGCCGACCGCCTGCAGGATGATGGTGACCAAGGCCATGACGGGCTTCACCACGCAGAACTGCAGCGTGGCCTGGGGGCAGGGGAGCGAGGGGTGCGCATGTGGGAGGGGCAGCACCCAGGGCAGCATGG